TTAGGAGTTAGTTTCTCTTAGTTGTTTTTCTTTCAACCATTGAGTCCTCTTTCTTTTCATCTCAAAACAAAATCAAAACACTTAATAAATATGACGAGTATTGTGCGCCACGAGCCTTAAGCACATTAGAAAAGATGAGCGGATGCATTTCTAACCTCATCTTAGGGTACTTTATGCGCGGGACGTTTGGATCGTTAGCACGAATTATTCGCTCCTATGTCATAGACTTTAGTGTGATACACGTCAGAAACAAAGTTAATCCACTTCTTTAAAATCCTCAAACAAATTCAAACCATTTTTTCCTTCGGGATTTCCTTCTAAACCTTTTTCAGAAAGGCATGTTACCTTCGTTCTACCGCAAATAGGCATTGACCCTAACTACTAGAACGTGAGCTTAGTGTCGCTCATAAAAGACACCAACCAACCCGTGGTAGATCGAACTACGACTACTCTGACTTCCTTATTCTTGCCCGAATGAGGATACGTAGGCACAAGACAGCGAAGTCTTGGCGAGCACAATCCCCCCATTCACCCGTAGTCCTCCGAACTATGTTGACTCTGACTTTCTCATTGCACGAGGGAATACGTAGACCTAGGACAGCGAAGTCCTATCGAGTCACCTTTGGTTTTTTCTCCCTGTAGTTTTCGATAGCAAGTAGGCTTTAGATATACATACCCTTTGATTAGAACAACAAGAGTGGATCCCGTTGAGTACAACGGACACGAGAGGTGCTAATACCTTCCTCTCGCATAATCGACTCCCGAACCCAGGATTTGGTTGCTAGACCATGTCTTATCCCTTTTGAGGTTTCTTCGATCACTTCCTTTCCCCAGTCGGGATAAGTAACGTTTGGTGGCAACTCTGTTTTTCCCCCGGTTGTTTTTCGCGTTGCGACACCCGGCCTCACCAAATCTTTGTTTTTTGTATGATGATGCAAAATAGAAATGAGAGAAATTCTTGAATAAATAAAATTTGTAATTTTTTTTACCATTTGGAATTGTCTCTTCATGAACCGATATCTTCTTCTTCGAATTTTCAAGCATCAAATCAAGACAGTGTGCGACACAAGGTGTCCAATATAATTTGTTCCCCTTTCGCATCAACATTTCCCCGATAGCCTTATAGTTTGTCGCATTATCTGCCACGATCTGAACAACATTATCTTCTCCAACCTCTTTAACAACAACATCAATCATTTCAAAGATTTTGTTGGCTTTTTTGCATATGTTAGGTGCATAAACAAACTTCAAAAATACAGTACCCTTTGGACTATTAACCAAAAAATTCAAAATTGTTCTCCTCTTCCGATCTGTCCATCCATCGGTAATTATGGTGCAACCAATCTTCCTCCATTCCTTTCTATGTTCTTCCAAAGCTTCGTGTGTCAACTTCGCTTCTTGGTTTAGAAACTTAATTCTCAAGTCATGATAAGACGGTGGTTTGAATCCATTACCATACCTTGAAATCATATCACACATGATAGTGAACTCCTCACTCCTTGCTACATTGAATGGTATGACATTATTGTAAAAAAACCTTGCAACTGCTTGACATGCATAATCTTTTAAACCCTTCTTTAAAATTGAATTGATGCTAGGTTGTGAGTTGAAACACCTTTTCTTAAATATGTTTCTAGAGTTGTTACTAGTCATTCTTTTTTAGCCCACTTCTGACTTCTCTTCCTCCGCCATTGCCTCTGGTTTTTTGATCAAATTTTCTTGCAATCTTGAAAAAACTTGCAGTATTTATCTCTTGATTTCATCTGGGACAACCTTGCATGCTTCAACATCTTTTTGAGTTCCAGCCAAGTTATGCTTTAGCCTATAGACACCTCTAGTTACTTTTTTTTACAATACTTGCATTGGATTTTTCTTGGATTATCAGGATCAACAATGCCATGTTTTCAAGCTATATCAGTTCGGTTACCAAGAGCATTTTTTGGTAGTTTTTTCTGGTGTGGTGGTGGTGCAATTGCAGGGGAGCAGCGAGACCACCAACAACTAAAGTTCCAATAGTAGAATTTGAAGCCATTGGAGAAAAGATTGAAATTGTTTTTAATAGAGAAGAAAAGGTTTTTTTTTATTGTGAGATAAAATATGGAGAATAAAATATTGAGTGAGTCTATTTAACATGAGAGATTGACAGAATTGGAATGAATAAAGGTATTTTGGAAAGTTATATTAATCATGATTTATTTTGGAAAGTTACATTAATCATGATTTATTTTGGGAAGTTGAATAAATCCTTAATTATTTGGTGGCTCGGTAGTTATTATCCTAGTTATTAGGAAGATTTTGTATTGCAATATAGGGAAAAGAATCATTTTAGCTTTTAATAAAAAATGAAACGTTTTTTAGGGTTATTTTCTGAACTGGGTCACGAACCCGAATTCATGAGGTTTTAAATAAAAATGGAAAATTTCAACAGAAACGGCGATCCCACCGTTTTCACGTGAAATCACAACATTTATATGCCAGTGCCTACCAAAAACCATTTCCGATCATTTTCTGGCACGATGGGGAGTTGCAAGATCGTAGAATTGTACGATCCTACGAGTAGGATCACAATTTTGACTACCATGTTATCCTTGCCCCCATGGGTGATCTGGTTTGGGGTGGACGTCTCCGGGCTCCACCACATATACTCTTGGAGGGGCTAGTCCCTAAGAGGGGGTGCTCAAACTACGTTGAAAAGAGTGCTCCTTAGACGTGAAGTTTGTTGAAAAGACTGACTTACACCATCCTGCATGAAATTCACAAGATTATTTGTGGTTGCAACGTTCAAACAATTAACATATCAATTATTGGCATTGTGCAACTATTTTACAGAGTATATTATCGATAGAATAGATTGTAAGGATGCAAGGCTCTTCCTCCTTGTAACATATTCTTAGGTTAACCGCAACGCCAGTAAAAAGGACCTTCTCTTTGTCCCCCGATGGACGATGGTCTGCCTTAAACCCCCAAACATCATTAACTAACGAGTACCACAGGACGACCAACATCTTCGTAGATGTCTCCTGTTGACGGACGTGGATACCATAAAGCCACAAAGTTGTTTCCTGTTGCATCTTTGGGGTAGACATTTTTCTCGATCTTTCAAAACATGGCTGACAACGTGTTTATATGAGATGTGAGAGTCTATTCCCTGGAATCTGATTAGATTCTGATCAAGATGAGAGTCTTGCTGAATGAATGTGAGATTTCTTAAGGAATTACTTAATGAAACCTTCAACCGCCGATAATTTCACATTTGGAGATCGATTTACTATGTTGTAATCTAATAATTCTGGCGCGATATGATCTTCATTCATCTTTTGGAAGTCCTTAAGCACATTGTGAAGATGCTCTGACAATGAATCTACGCTAGGAGTCGTTACGATAAGGACCACATTGATGATGAATAATTGAGGTAATGCGAGTCTGGAAGGTTGAATTCTAGTGCAAATCTGAGTCCGAATCTAGAATATCCATCAGTGGATTTCTTGCAAAAATTGGAAGTCCAAAAATTCAAGGAATTTAGGTTGAAATGATGCTTGATTGGATCAAGCGCGATGAATCTTCGTGTTCGATTTGGAAGGCTTTTGATTCGGTGGCATGAGAAGATTGTGAACTAACAAATTGGAGAGCAAACATGAAATTGTGAGAAATGTAGGAATCCAAAGTTGGTCCCCACAGACGGTGCCGCTATTCCGTCATAAAACCAGAAACAGTTGAAGTAGGTCGTGAGGAATCCTGAACTGGTGGCGCTGATCTCCGAAACGCTGTCGCGAGGGGGTACAAGGTTAGCACTCCAACGGTAGACATGACAACAAAACCCGTGCCTGTTGGTACCAACCTGAATCTGCCCCGAATTTGACAGAGAAAACCCGTTTTAACTGTGTTTGAGTTTGAGTTTTCTCTAATTACAAAATATGGAGACATTCAGGTAATAAAGACACTAGTACCCACTCGAACCCACCCTGGTTATTTCATTATGTACTTTATTATTTAATTTTAAAAATTTAGAATATTAAATATGTGATGTATTGTTTTTATATTTTAATTTTGTATCTATTATTTAAAATATTTGAAATGTATGTCTGAATTTTTTTATATATTTTATTTTATTATTTGTAATGCAATTCAATTCAGAAAAAAATATAAAAGAAATATATTTAAAAAAATTGATTTTATTATATGGATGTTGGCTGAATGAGGATACTTAAACCCGACGGAACCCATTTAGAACGAATTTGAGCTTTAATTTTCCATCTCCATTAGAGATCGGATCGGAGAACAATTATTGTTTGGAGATTCAAGTTTGGGGGAAGTTAAAATCGTCCCCACTCTGCCTTGTTGTCATGTCTACTCCAACACCCAAGTTAGTTTAAGATGATTTTAATAAAAAAACAGAGATAAAAAATGTATACATATTTAATAAATATAAATGACATTTATATTTTAAATGATGTAGAGTGAATTTGAGTTGATTTTAGTCATAGTCATTTGAATCTTTGACCAACTCAGAACAATATTAAATAAATTAAAAATAAAGAGATTAGAATATATTGATATGAATCAATATATTTTTTTAAGATTAAATATATTGGTTCTTAAATATTTTAAATTTTATTTTAAACTTTTTTAAATATTTTTTTCGAATTCTCCTAAAAGAAAGAAGATAAAGAAAACAATTCTGAAAGTTGTATTTTGAACACCAACCACTGTAAAACCATAAAACGAAAACGGATAAAAGAAAGAAAAGGAAAAAAAAAAACCGATAGAGGTGTTTGATCCCTTCCCGCAAACTCGATTCTATCAATAAGACAACACAACACTCCCCTTCTTCAAGACACAATTCCGATTTCATTCTTCATCCACACACAGCACAACGTCATCATATTCAACTTCAAACTAACACTTACCACCTATCTATGCTTTTTTCTACCTGACATAAAATCAAACACCTAACAATCACAAATCAAATCAAATTAAATCAACCTTGTTCCATTTCATCCATGGCTGCTGCTGCTGCGTTTCGATCGAAGCATTCAAACTACAAAGACAAAGCAGCCCTTGCGTTATCTCAGTTAAGGTACTTCGCTTTCAACTACACCAACGTTGGTAATTCTCACTCTCCGCCTCGCTCACCGTTGATCAATACCCCTTATCACTTCACTTCCTTCAAACCCCTTTCTCTCCGCGGGGATTTCACTCAGAACAATCGTAAGGGTGGTACTAACACCGCTCATTTCGATGACTCTAGCCCACCCAATCAAAACCCTAATCTCGTTCCTTATGATAGAACGGCTTATAGGGTTCTTGTTTCTTCATTTGGGGATCCTCCTGAAGTTTGGTCCGGTGCTGGAATTGTTGTTCGGCCGGGGAATTCCGGTTATGACGTGTCTGGTGGCGGTGGTGGTGGAGGTGGTGGTGGTGCTAGCTCCGGTGGTGATTCTGGATCGATGAATTCGAAAGATGGGTGTTGGGGTGGGTCTAATTTGGGAGGTAGTTTCCCTACTCCGAAGGAAATTTGCAAGGGGCTTGATAAATTCGTAATTGGACAAGAGAGAGCTAAGAAGGTGTGTGTGCTGATTTTTTTTTTCTCAATGCTTTTCTTTTCAGTGATTGATGATGGTTTTGTTAATGTTACAGGTGCTTTCTGTGGCAGTTTATAATCACTATAAGAGAATATTTCATGAAAAGTCCATGTGGTTGGTATATTACTTCAGCATGTTTTTATCCTTTCATTAATTTGGTGCACATGTGATGCACACACGTTTTTGCTTTCTGTTTCTAATGTAAAATTTTTGTTTTTGGTTTAAGCTCTTAAATTGTATTTAGATGTGCTGTTGTTTCATGTTCTTACTATTCGAAATGTTAGGCCTGCAGGAGATTCAAGTAATGATAGTAAAGCCAATGTTGTTGTTGATGATGATGACGATGAAGTTGAACTTGAGAAAAGTAATATCCTTTTGATGGGACCAACGGGATCAGGTAAACTAGTTTTTACCTTCTCCGCTCTCGAGTGTATTCCGTACTTACAGCTCTGTGTTGTCATGTTTCAGTGTTGAATGATGTTAATATGTGATGTGATTTTGTTCTTTGAATCACAAATTTTTCTAATGGATTCAATTGACTGTCAGTAGCATAGTTTCATTTAGTTGCATTAGCAGTGTTATCGAATGTTGGCCATGGCAGATATCAGTGGCGGTTTATGAGATAGCCGCAACTGTAACTATGGGCTGATATTGTGGGTTTTTTCCACTATAATTTGCTATGATGGCGCCACATAGGCCCGGTACGGTGGGACTTTGGCTCTCTGCCATAGATCGTCATCTGCCATCGACAACACTGTGCGCTAGTATATTATTGAAGTTTTATGCTGAGCATTGGTTTTGAATTCTTTCTTGAAATCGTTATTTATTTATTTAAAATAGATAGGGGAGTTAATCAAGTTTGAGAATTTTACTTTATCCATCACCATTTCTTTGAAAAATTGTTGTTTCATCGATTATCCTGGCTACCAGTTTAACTTGCTTTTCTTTATGTTGTTTCAAGGACAGGGAAGACATTACTTGCTAAAACCTTGGCTAAGTTTGTAAATGTTCCCTTTGTTATTGCAGATGCAACTACACTCACTCAGGCAAGTTAGAAGACTTTATTCTTGTTTTTTGATTTATTTATCATATGTTGAAGTGAATAATAAAACATAAAATTGGAAAGGGAAGAGGAAAAAATTGTTTGGACTGGGAGTTTTTTCTTTTTTATGTTGAAAGACTTGTAATGTTCCACATAGGCTGTAATTTTCCAGGATAAAAAAGAAGAAAAATGAGCAGGTTGATGCCATCCCTATCCTCTAATCACATGTACTTAAAAAGTGTAGACAATTTATGCAAATTCTAAATGAAGTCAAATATAGATATTTATTGGAAACATTTCCTTGTCAAGCTAAAAAGGCACTAAAGGTACTATAGGGTACAGAGAATTATTTCGTTTCCTTTTCTCGATGATTGGAATTTATTTGACAGTTATTCAGTATGTATTCTTGTATTTATATTATTTTCATCTTATTTTATATCATGTGAAAGCTATATGTTTTGTGTTAAAGCTATAACTCTAACATCACCTTTTGCAGGCTGGTTATGTTGGAGAAGATGTGGAGTCCATATTATACAAGCTCCTCATGGTAAATACTTCGAAGAGACAACCATGTTATTTTTATACGTTGTAGTAATATGGGATTCTTAAATTCTTTAGACAACCCAAACAAGACTAATGATACTGTATCCAATCTTTGAGTTTCTTTTTGCTATTTGTCATTTGAACAAAAAATGTTAATTTATATGGAAAATTAGATTGGTATTCGTTCCTTTCTTTTTAATGTTCTTAAGCCTTAACCAATATCCATGACCAATGGTTTTTCATATCTACTTATCTGCAGAACATTAACTGGGTTTAAAGGGTTTAATGTGTGATTCAACCTTGGGAAGAACATAAGGGCTTCAGTTCTTATATTTTTATGGCTTGAGCATATTGAATGCCTACTTGTACTTATGCATGCTATGGCAAAATTTTCTTTGTTGTTGGGAATCAGTTTCCTTTATCTGCTTCTTGTATTTTTTTTTTAAATATGTTTTTTCAAGCTCTATCAATTGTATATTGGTGTTTCTTTCGTGAAATCATGTAACTAGCTTCTGTTTGTTAAAAGAAACATAAATTGAACAACATAGGCATACCAAATTGCGGTCTGAATCAACAATGCATACATTTATTTCAGGCTGCAGATTATAACGTGGCAGCTGCTCAGCAAGGCATTGTTTACATTGATGAAGTTGACAAGATTACCAAAAAGGTTCTTCATTATTATCTCTATTTTCCCTTCCAACTATTATTTGTCCAATGTTCTAAAGCACTTCTTGACATTTCAGTCTGAGAGCCTTAATATCAGTAGAGATGTCTCTGGTGAAGGTGTTCAGCAGGCATTACTGAAGATGCTTGAGGGAACGGTTAGTTCTTTTCATAATTACCAACACCCAAAAAAACTAGATAACTGGATTTTAAGTTTTATGAATCTGCTTCTAACATGTTAGCAAAACAAAAGTCTAAGATTGCTGAAGTGTGCCCGGTTACTTTTTTTATTTTAGTATTTTTAGCAGTCCATTGTATGTTGATGTTGTTGCATTCTGTCCAATCCAGGTTGTCAATGTTCCTGAAAAGGGAGCTCGAAAGCATCCGAGAGGTGACAATATTCAGGCATGTGTACATTATTCTTTATGATTTACAGTTTTAGGTATTTATTTGCATGTATCCTGTTGGGGTTATCAGATACATTCATGGAATTGTTAAGTAGGGCAGTCATATTTCAATATTTTAGAATGTTCATTGTTTAAACCTTTAAAATAAGCTTGACTGATCTTTTTGGTCTTTTAAGATTTGTCCTCTTCTCTTTCAGTTTTTTATACATATATATGCATTTGAACATTCTGGATTGGTTGAATTTCATATCTTGTATTCTTCTAAATTGCAAAGAGCCATATGCAGTTTTCATATGATTTATTATTGTCGTGCCATCTTTGTCTTTTCACAGATTGACACAAAGAATATACTTTTCATTTGCGGAGGAGCCTTCATTGACTTAGAGAAAACAATTTCAGACAGGTTGAACAAACCTGAAAATTTCATAGCATTAGTGTTGTAATATGGTATGTGCAGTGTTGATGTAACTAGTAAGTCTGTTTTTCTCCTTTCAGGCGCCAAGATTCTTCTATTGGATTTGGAGCACCTGTGCGTGCAAAGATGAGAGCCGGAAGTATGACAGAGGCTGCAGTTGCATCATCCTTATTAGGAACTGTAAGTTTCTTTGTGACCGATCTTGTAAGCATACTGGCTTTTAGTACTAACCAACTAATTTGAAGTTGATTCTATACATCATTGAAATATTTGACAGGTTGAAAGCAGTGATCTTATTGCATATGGTTTAATACCTGAATTTGTTGGACGGTTTCCTATTCTTGTCAGTCTGTCGGCTTTAACTGAAAATCAACTCATTCAGGTTTGTTGAACTTGGTCACTCAATTTTTTTTACCTGTTATGCTTTTCTCATTTGGCTGTGTTCACAATTGAATGAAGTAGTGGATTGAGTATTTTTTATTGATAGTGAAATTGAATTGGTTGCTGAGGAAGTTGGAGGGACTAGGATTCTCAGTTAGCAAACGTATTCAAATCTGGCATTGTTTTTAAGTTTATGTCTTTCCCTTCTTCAGTCAGTTAAAGTGTTCTGTTTACTCAAATTATGTCCTTAAAAGTGCTTAGTTTTTGAACTTTACAAGTCACTTTTCTTGTTACCTGATATCAATAATTTGTATAGGTCCTCACAGAACCGAAGAGTGCTCTAGAGAAGCAATACAAGAAGACATTCAAAATTAATGGAGTAAGTTTCTGCGAAGCTCCTAATTCATTGTATATGCCAAGTTTTCTCTCCAATACCAAACCGGTATCTCTAACTTTAAAAACTTTTACATCTGTTCAAGCACGGGAAGCTACCATGCAACCTAACATTATATCTTGACCCTTAAGCTTAATACATTGGGTCTATGGGTCTTTTCACTTATAAATAAATTTATTCCTGTTTATTTATGGTAGTTTTAATGATCGAGGATTAACCAAATAAAAATAATTAGTGGAATTGGTCACTCATTTAGATTGTAAATTTTTGGCATAGGCTTTATTGGGACCGAAATGGCTGTTCTGACAACAGTTTGTTGTGTACATCCTTTTCAGGTGAAACTACACTTTACGGAAAGCGCTCGCAAATCAATTGCAAAAAAAGCAATGTCTAAAAATACCGGTGCTCGGGGCCTACGGGCAATAATAGAGAATGTTTTGGCAGATGCCATGTATGAGGTATGCTTTTTTAATTTTCTTGAGATGAATAATTTGTTCATAATGTGACACAATAATAGAGTGAAGGCGTTGTCTCTGATATCAGAGAGGGTGCTCGTTATCAAAGACAGCTAAACATAATAACACAGCCACAACCCCAAAATATCTATCTCATGGTTGATTAAAATGTCCCGGAGTGTATCTGAAGTTAGGTTAAACAAAGATGATTTGCTTGATTGGATCAAATTTTGTGCAGATTCCTGATGTGAGAACAGGCGACGATGTTATAGATGGTGTTGTTGTTGATGAAGACTCTGTTGGACTTGGAAGTGAGGGCTTTATGAAAGGCGCGAAAATCCTTTATGGTAGGGGTGCATTGGATCGTTATCTTTCTGGGGAGAAGAACGATTCAGAGGTGTGTATAACATGAATCTTGTCTCTTTGCCATTATCAAGTTAAAGTCCTAATCATATTTGTTTTCTGTATTATAGACAGTGGAGATATCTGGTGGAGATCAAGAAGCAGAAACAGAAATTCCTTCCATTGTTGCCAGCATGTAATCAAATCCTTTGTTGGTATTCATTGTAGTTTATCTTTGTACATAATAACTAGTTGATACATTTAATAAAACAATATAAAGGGTAAGTAGATTCAGATTGCCCCATGTGGATTGGGTCAAAATCAATGTGTACTATAAGAATAGTTTCAAGAGTGGCCTCCTGAGGTTAGTTTCACAAAAGCACAAATCACAGTGAGAATTCCTTATTCATTGAATGTAATTTTGGGGCAACACTGGTGGAAGGAACTAAATGTATATCACTTTATAAGATTCCTGTTCTTTATTTTGTTATAAGCTCTTGGGCCATTTGACTTAACTTATATTGAGTAACAGAGCAAATCCTATAGGTTCAATAAACCATTGTTTTTTTTTACTAGACAAAACATGTCGACAATTTCAAGTTCTTCTATTCAACATTTCATTCATACACCCTCAAATCATTATTATAAATTATAAGCAACTTTTACTCTTTTTTTTTTGTGTGGGTACATTTGACTGTTGATTTGGGTACATTTGACTGTTGATGTATCTAGTTTATCTAGTCTATATATAGACTAGATACATTAAACAGTCAAATGTATCAAAAAATAAAAGTTGTTTATAATAGTGATCGGAAGTTGTATAAAAATGAAGTAGGTGGCCATTCCCATCAATGCAACAATTTCATGACAATTAGTTACTCTCTTTGTCCTATTTATAAGAGAAAAATAATTTTTTAGATTAATTGAATAATCAACTGGTCCTATTTATAAGAGAAAAATAATTGTTTAGCTTAATTGAATTATCAATGTATCAGTTTATTATACAGTTTAGATACATTAATTATTCAATGATTGAAATTATTTTATTATCAAAGTGCAAGATATGCCTAATCAACAAGTTTAAGAAAGTTATTAGATCATCACCTTCAACTTTGACTATATTATAGGTGGAAATAAAAAACCCAAAGATACTGCAACCATGACTGAAAAATTCAAGAAATGTGAGAAGAAAGGTAAGCATTGTTCAACTAATTCAAAAAGGATTTATGGTCATAGTGTAAGATAGCCATATAAAGATAGTTGGTTCAAATCGTAATTTGATCTTAAAGGCTTCTATATCAAAGAGTTCTACCTTTTAAATCAACATGAATGTTGTTGATATTAAGTGTTATAAAGCAGTAGAATCAAAGAATAATGAACAACTATGGAATTTTAATCTTCTAAAAAATGGATGTTTCTGCTAGTGTGATGCGCTGCCGAATTTTAATCTTTTCCAAAAAGTAGTATGTCTGTATTTGGATGTTTTTTTTCCTAGTGTGTGATGCAATGACTTGATTCTCATTACTAAAATGGAAATGCTTTAATATAGGCCTCAATACAAAAGAGACTTGTTACTTGCAAAACAAATAACTCTTCAAAATACCTTAATGCATGCTTTAATACAAAAGAGACTTGTTACTTGCAAAAACAAGTAACTCTTCATAGAATGCTAATGAACTGTGATTTGCAATACAAGTCGCATATTAAATCTAACTAACTCAAGAAAGCTTAAGAGTCACTCTTCTAATATGAAGTTACAAAGAATTCAGATTAAATAAACAAGCAAACAGTTACAAAACAACTAATTAATCTTTTCTATTTTACATACTCTAAACTTTAATCTTAAATTACAAAATAAATCTAGCTTTAAAGGCTTTGTCATAATATCAATAATTTGATCAACTGAGTTGCAATGAAATAGTTCATAGTTCTATCATTCCATCTCTTATGAGGCCCCTTAGAAAATGGAATAACTTCAATATGTTTGTATTTACCATTTATAATTGGGTTCTTTGAAAGCGTTATGGTAGAACTGTTATCAAAGAGTATTATTTTCTTGAACTAAATGCCTTGCAAACACGTGATGTTGTTGCCACAAACCCTGCTTCAGTGGTGGATAGTTATAGTAACTATACGTTGCTTCTTTGATGACCATGAAATAGATCCCGAGCCAAACATAAACACATAGTCAAATGTGATTTTTTTGTCATCATCGTCTCCTGTGTTGTGAATCGGATACCTTATAACAAAGTATAAACAGTTTCTTAATGATCAAGAAACTCACAAGGGTTAGGGTTAACAAAGAAAACAAGGTAAAACAACAAGGAACAACAAGGATTGGTTATTAAACTGCTATTTTTTCCTTTCTCTTAGAACAAGATTACAAGTATACAAGAATAACAAAATAACCTCTCTCCCTTAAAATTAGGATTTTATCTTCCTATTTTTCCTTATTCTCAAGATTGAGAAACTAGCATCCTATTTATAATAAAATAGCACACTAACCTATGGGCTTTTTAACAATTACCCATTACAAGCTAACTTAGGGTACAAGCTAACTTAAACAATTGGGCTTACAAGCAAGACCCAATTCAACATGCTAACAACCCTAGCAATATTTACTCATGCTAACAACCTTAGCAATATTTACTCATGCTAACAACCTTAACAATATTTACTCATGCATGTTAGAACAAACTTCGACTACAACACGCATTACTTGCGAACAGACTTCGACCACACTAGAGTTCGATCCAATGTCTCACAAATCTCCACCTTGGATCTAACTCTATAACATCAAGAAACTAGCTTTCTTCATGCAAAATTTATTAACTGCATACAGTGGAAAAACTTGCAACTGGGCAATGTCTTGGTGATCATATCAGCAGCATTATGATCTGTCGAAACTTTCAGCACTTGGACTTCTCCACGCTCGATTACCCCTCTGATGAAATGAAACCTCACATCAATGTGCTTGGTTCGCTCATGATAGGCTGAATTCTTCGACAGATGTATTGCACTTTGACTATCACATTTAACAGTGATAACTCGACCTTGAAGTTTTAGCTCCTTTGCAAAACCTTCAAGCCACACTGCTTCCTTCACAGCTTCAGTTAGAGCAATATACTCCGCTTCAGTGGTTGATAAGGCAAACGAACTTCTGAAGTGTTGCTTTCCAACTGATTGCTGTCCCAAACATAGTGAACACATATCCGGAGATAGATTTTCTAGAATCCATACAACCTGCATAATCAGAGTCGACATATCCTTCGATTACTGCTTTACTATCTTCACCCAAGGCTCCACCATAAATTAGGACTCTATTCAGAGACCCATTTATGTACCTTAAAATCCACTTCAATGCTTGCCAGTGAGCCTTTCCAGGATTCGCCATGTACCTGCTTACAAGACTTACTGCATATGCTATGTCGGGTCTAGTACAGACCATAACATACATCAAAGACCAATTTGTCTTCTTTTGATTCCTCATAACTTCCTTATAGTCTCTAGGTTCTTCGTCTAGAACCTCACTTGCAGGGATTAAGGCATAAGCTATAAGATCTGCATACCCAAGTCTCTGAGGTGGCTTGATGACTCTCCTCGACCTGTCTCTTGCTAGCAGGTAGTCATTATCAGTCTCCTCATCTTCGACAACATCTTCTGTGTCTTCTTCGACTTCATCTGGGGTAAGCAATTCAGCATCAACATGCTCCACCTCAACAGGAATCTCTCCCTGTTCCAACTCTTCGTCAGCATCATCAGTTTTCTTGAAAGCCATCTCTGCTTCGTTGAAAACTACATCTCGACTGGTGATACACCTCCTGTGACCTGGCTCTAGGCACCATAGCCTATAAGCTTTGACTCCTTCAGGGTATCCCATGAACATGCATTTCAGAGCTCTAGGTTCGACCTTGTCTTGCCTAATACGAGCATAGGCCACACAGCCAAATACTCTCAGTCTGTCGAGACTAGGTGGCTGTCCCGACCAAAATTCTTCAGGTGTCTTCATTCCCAAGGCAGTCGAGGGACATCTATTTATCAGGTAAGCTGCTGTCGAAACAGCTTCCGCCCAAAACACCTTCTTTAATCCAGCACTAACCAACATGCATCTAACCTTTTCAAGGATTGTTCGATTGAATCTCTCAGCTAAGCCATTTTGTTGAGGAGTACCTGCTACAGTCTTATGCCTTGCAATCCCAAACCCAACACAGTAACTGTCGAAAGCTTCGTTGCAGAATTCAAGGCCATTGTCGGTTCTCAACCTCTTAACCTTTCTGCCAGTCTGAGTTTCGACTAGAATCTTCCAACTTTTGAAATTCTCAAAAGTTTCATCCTTTGTCTTCTGAATGAATACCCATAGTTTTCTGGAATAGTCATCAACGATGGATAGAAAATACCTTGCACCTGAGTGTGAAGGATTCCTTGCAGGCCCCCAAAGATCAGCATGAATGTAATCCAGGGATCCATGTGTTCTTTGCTTGCCTTTGTTAAACTTCGCCCTATAGGATTTACCAAATACACAAGATTCACAAAATTCCAACTTTTCGACTTTGTCACCTCCTAGCAGGTTCTGCTTCCCCAATTCGACCAGGCCTCTTTCGCTGACATGGCCCAATCTCATGTGCCATAATTCTGTCTTCGACATAGATTTCGTGGATGCAACATTTGTCGAACCACTTACAACCTCAACCTCAAGGGTATACAAGCCTTGTTTCTTCACGCCTCTCAAGACTTCCTTCGACCCCTTCATGACTCTTAGGATACTTTTCTCTCCTTGAAAAACATATCCTTTTCTGTCGAATTCACCAAGAGAAATCAAATTTCTCTTCAAGTCAGGTACGTACCTGACTTCATTCAATAACCTTATTGACTCATCATGGAGCTTGAATCTCACAGATCCAATACCTGCAATTTTGCAAGATTTGTTGTTTCCTAACAGCACAAATCCACCATCTTGATCACATAGCTCCTCGAACAATTCTCTGTTTGGAGTCATGTGCCAAGTGCAACCTGAATCCATAATCCACTCTTTCCTCGAGTCGCCACTTGAAACCACAAGAACATCAGATGAGTCGAAGTCATCTTGAACAATGGCTGCATTGCCATTACCTCCATGATCTTTCAGGCGTTCAGGGCACAGCTTTCTTATGTGACCCTCCTTCTTACAGTGGTAACATCGAATACTAGATGTTTCGCCACT